TTGTCCTTTGCTTCCTTTCTTCTGTCCTTTGCTTCCTCTCCACTTTATCTTCATCGATGTCTCTCTCCTGTTTTTCCACCCTACTGGGCTGTTCCAGCTCAATGTTTTAACGCTCCACTCTTCCTGTAAACCGTCCCTCGTCTTTAGCCGTGTCCTCGTCCTGTTAACTGTGCTGTTTAACGGGGGCGCCGTGATGAACGCTTTATGGCGGCCATTAGTCGAGACGCGGCGGCTGCTGCTCCTGTCAGGGACGAACGGACGAATGATAAAACTGAGAGAGAAACTTTTCTAAAAGTTCCTCAGTAACGATTTTAATTATGAAACTTTCTCATTTATTCTTGAACTATTGAATAATCTCCTCTAAATGTATTTTCATATTAACATTTGTACCATCAACTAAATTACATTCCTGTGGCTCTGAGGAGGAAGCTGCTGATATCTGGGGCAGGAAAAATGACCGCTACGCATCGACCGTGTGAGCTGCTGTCAGAATGCAGACGGTCGATTATTCAACCTATTGGATTATCTATCGTTTCTGCATTATGTCCATAAATCAATACATAACATATGATGTCCTGTCCAGTGTTTCTGTGTTAGTGGTATCGTGGTAATCACATGTGGGAAAGGTGGACTCCACTAACAATGAGAGCTTGAATGGTTATTGCAGTTTTAGTGCTGGTCTGATGAATTTAAGTATCCTTAATAATGTGTTACTTTCTATTCAGACTTTATTTTAATATCCAAATTGATTCTCTATGAGGAAAATTAATGCACTTTGAACATAATGACCTTCATCCCGTCTGTTTATTGCAGCTGGAGGTTTTTAGAGCTGCGATTTGTCTCTAATGACTCTCATCAATTTATGAAACCTTTTTTCTTCCGAGCAGTCATTTTACAACCAAACAAGCTAAACGCTCTGAGTCTCTATTTCACAGCGCATTTCCTGTTTCCATTTCCTGACTCCGCCCTTTTTAGGCCTGCTGCGATTGGAGGAACTCGTCCACCGCTTCCTCATCTCCAGGGAGACGCTGTCGGTGCGAATGCTGGACGACAGCCTGGACCCGACCCCACTGCTGAAGGAGATCCGTGACGACAAGGTGGCCACCATCATCATCGACGCCAACGCCTCCATCTCCTACCACATCCTCAGGAAGGTCAGGAGGTCATCAGCTAACTGACCGCCGTTGGTCCTGTTGTCTTCGTTTCCATGGTTACAATGCAAACTGGAACTGCTAACAGCTAATGCACGGCAACATTGCACTTCTTGTGTATGTTACCTAAAGCATAATGGGAACTGGAGTGCCAATACTCATTAGCTGCTTCATTTGTTTACAGATATTTACACACTTTGCATCCAGGTAGAGCGCGATGACAATGTCATTTTAACCCTTAAAGATCACATCCCGTTATATTGTTGCCCTGTTTAACAATGTATGACAAAAGAAACTTATAAAATACAATGAAATTTAGTTTTTCTATCAGAATCCAATCATTGTGTCTTCCTGTAAAACAAAAGCAGAGAATACCGGCAGCGGTAGACAGTAGAGCGCATTGCTGTCCAACGTTAAAATATTTGAACTTGTTTCCGTTCTCTGCGACAGAATTTAAAACCCGATGTGACGCAGCTTCCTCACAGAAAGAGACAACATGGACAATCTGGACAACGAGGCGCTAATAATGACTGAACTGCATAAAATAATGTTATTTATTGTATTTTACAATATCCCCATAGCAACGTATCATCATGCAGGTTTTATTCTGCTGTCTAGAAGTTGCCGTTTGTCTTTTGTCTTCCTGAATCTCTACCAACCTCCTCGGTGCGTTCATATATAGGTACAGCAGAGTATCACGCTGGAGGAGCACACCAGAGGAGGTGAAACTAAAGGGACCCTGTCTGTCTGACACATCTTCATCCCCTGCTTTGTTTGTGTGTTTCTTCCTCTGTGGTGTTTACAGAGTAGAACGGGACCTTCAGACACCGGCTGGTTTCCTGCCAAACTGGCCGGTAGAGTCGACAGACTTTACAGCCTCAAACTAAATCTAGCAGCTTTTTGGCAGGTTGTAATTTCACTCTCCGCCCGGAGAACCTTGGAGGTCTGAGGAGTTTTGAATACAAAATAAAACCGTGTGGTGTTAAAGCTCAGCTCCTGCAGGCAGACTGAAGCTCACAGTGTGAGGAAGGTTAATGGATTAATAACAGAGTCCGTCTGCAGCTCCTCGCTGTGAGGTTGCCGGTTCAGATCCCAGCCTGGGGTGGACAAACAACGGATATTGTCTTTTAATTTGGAGGACTTGATGGAAGACGATAAGGTCCAAAACAACAGCTATGGCTGTCTGAGACTACCAGTAACAGGCGTACCGGGCCTTTTTCCACCACTTGGTTAACATTGTTCAGACACTAAAACTCCTGGTTTAGGTTTGAGAAAAGATGGCGGTCCGAGCGTCTCCTCACTCACAGGTCCTGCAGTTGTTCTCTGAGTTGCTGTTTCAAGGTTGTTTCCTGTTACTGAAGACGCTGCGACACAGACTGTCAGAGTGAAACTGAATCGTCTCTGATTTGGGCCAAACTCCAGCGTTCGGGGGGGAATATAGAGCAGATGGTTCCTTTGGTTGTAACTTTGTTCAGAATAACTTCCTGTTTCACAGCGCTGATGTTTTCCTTCTGCAGGCGAACGAGCTCGGGATGACGTCGGCCTTCTACAAGTACATCCTCACCACCATGGTAAGAGCACCATCGTCTTCCACTAACCTCCACTTTCTTTCTTCTGCTCCTCTTCTTCACCTTCATCTCTTCCCGTACACTCGCTGCTCTCTCCGTCATTAAACCTCTTCTTGTCCTCTCTCGCCTCCTCCTCGTCTTTTATTTGCTTTTATTCAACCCTGTCGTTCCCTTTATCACCTTCTTTTCTTTAACATCCTTTTCATCTCCTGCTTTCCTTTCCTCTTTCCTTCTCTACTGTTCTTTCCTTCTGTGATCTCATTCTTCTCTTTCCCCTTTGTCAGTTTTACATTTTTATTGTTTCCTTTCCTCTCGCGTCCTCTTTCTTTCCTCTCTTCATCGTACCCTACTGTTTCCTTTCCTCCTCCCTTTTTTTCTCATCTCTTACGTTCCCCCGACCCCTTTTCTCCTAAATCCCCTCATCTTTGATGTCCTCCTTTCCTTTCTTCTTTCCCAACCCCTTTTTTCCTCATGACCTCTTTTCCATTGTTGTTTCCTTCACATTACCTTCCTAAACTCCTTCCTTCTTCCCCTCTTCCTCTTTCCTTCTGTTCTTTCTTTCCTTTCTTTTGCTTCCATTTTAAATGCTGGATGTTTTTCTCATCCTTCTTTCTTTTCCTCACAGTCACTGTTACATCACATATTTCCTGGTTAGCAGTAAAATAATCTTTTTACAGGAGGTTTGTGTGTTCTCCTCCCTCTCCTTCCTCACCCGTAACTCCTCCTCCTCCTCCTCCTCCTCCTCTCATCAGAGATGCACGCTGGCCTCACCACCGTTTGTCATCATTATAATTTCGCTGCCCGGTGTCGTGCCCTTGTGCAAAGACACGTTGCGTGGATAATAACTCGTCTCGATCTCCGCCTCGTCTCTCTAAACGCCGGCCGTGTCACAGACTCTTAACGGAGCCGCATGCAAGGGCACTTCACGCCGCGCTCGCAGACCAAGGGCGAAACCGCCGTTCTCCAGCAGAACCCTGGATGGGAACCAAAAGTGAAATGATTCCCCCTCTTCACCGCTCCCGGCTCTGACCTACCTTTAACTTTGTATTAAACACGCTCTGCTGACTGCGACTGACGAGCAGGTTTCAGATGACAGAGCGAGACGTCTGAGTGTGGAACAGATGAAAAAACTAAACAAGGAATAAGGCGGAAGCTGCCAGAGACTGAAGTATTGAACCTATAATCAGTTCAATAGCATTTAACTCTCTTCATAAAGTCCTGTTTATAACTAAGGTAGGTAAAGTTTATTAGTACAGAACATTTAGACAACAAAAAAATAAATAAAAGGCATCAAGACAAAATGTAAAAGAAACAAACAAGAAAATAAATATTAAAGCTGCAAGCAGCGATGGTCGGACCCTTGCTGTCTGCCATGGTTTACTTCCTGTAGGAAGATCTATTGTCAGAAATAATATTCATAGGTATGTTTTCATTAGTGTATAATCACCTGAATATAAGAATGGTTTTTGTTACCTTCTTGTGGTAACAAACTGTTTCTACAGTAGCCCAGAACGGACAAACCAAACCTGGTCTTTAAAGTAGGGTAGTAGTTGCTCCTACACACGTCACAGTCTGTTCTTATTCCCAGGTCATCAGATAAAGACGCGAGTGGTGTTCAGTTTCTTGCAGTCTGCAACTAAAGCACCTGATGACAATAAATCCTACACACTTGACCTTTAAACACTTTAACAGTGTGATTAATGGATGAAAATGTGCCCCAATGTCGGCCATGTCTGCTGGAAATAGGGGCGTGGCTCTTCTTCTGTCCACTTTAGATGATGTGGAACGCTGTGATTGGCTCATAGACGTCCAATCAAATATGTTTGTGCAGTGATCATAGACATCGCAGAAAGGTCAGGTCCGTTGGAACGGACATTGCAACTGAACAGGCCAAATTTTTAATAAATAAAATAGAAATAAATAAAGGAGGACATCCAGATGGTCTGAAGTCAATTAGCTGGATTCTAATGAACTTAATCTAATGTTGGGTTTGACCCTCATTACACACTGAGTCTGTCTGGGTCTGAACCAGACAGGAAATGAGCAGCCAAACCAAGACTAGGAACTAAAAGAGGCTAAAAACAACTTTAAAGTCAGTTTGTCACCTAAAGAACGAATCAAGAATTAAAGGACTTCAGTTTGACTCGCTGTGTTTACAAGTTTCTTCCAGACCTCTAAGGTGGTCCAGGTCTGCTTTCTAGACATAGAGAGGCAGCTTTTAGTGTACAGTTAGATGCTGCTAAATCCTACACACCTCCTTTAACCTATTAACTTATTTTCTGACTATATTTTATATTAATAATCTGAATCTGCTAAACTGTAAAATAGATGTAGTTGAAGTCTCTGTGTACAAATTCTAGAAAACTTTAATTGAAGTGACTGAATCTAACAGATGTTTTGGTGAAAGAGAGTTTCAGAAGTCTTTCCAGTCGGGGTGAAGTAATCAGTGAGTCACGGTTATTGATCAATAACCTTATCAACCCCCTGCAGATATATGACGGCCATGTTCTCCTGAATGGGGCAGGAAAGAATCTAAATCTTACTTATTGCTCGTTGAAACCCGCACTAATCTGCGGAGGAGAGGCTGTCACATCGTTTCTTAAGAGCGCGCCGGACTGACCTTGCACTGCCCTCGCCGGCTGCTCAAAACCTGGATGAACGTCCTGTCTGAACAGTCGCTGGCGTCCTTCTGGGACACTGCCGCAGTGCTTCCTCCCTCGGCAGCGCCGGTCTCGTCCAGCCAACAGCTCTTTGTCACGGCTGGCAGGCCCACAGTCTGACAGTGTACTTGGCTGTAGCTGAAATTGATTTGGCAACTGGAAACCGGCAACGAGAACAACAGCAGCAGCTTCCCGACAGGCCGGGACGTGGCAGAAGTAAATAAGTGTCGGAGGAGATTCAGGGATGAAGAAATTAACCTTACACGGAGGTTAGCAGTCGTGCTAAACAGCTGGACAGAAAAGGCTCCTCCCCTCCAGCAGCTCAGACCCTCTGCAGACACAGATTCTGCAGACTGGAGAAATTCTGTGCCAGAATTTTTTTTTATACTGCTGGAGAATGCAGCCAAATAATGATGATGACAGTCCGTCCGTCCAACAACTTTGGTCCAGAGCAAGAGACAACTCCTGTACTGGCTGGATTTCTCTTTTTATTCTTTCCTGAATCTAAAAGGAATAAAATCCTGAAATTATCTATTAGGTGAAAAACAAAATTGTCGCCCATTGGCAACTAAATATTTGAGCTCTTGCCGCAACCTGAAGGACATCCAGTGAACCGCCACCAAATTAAATACTGCTTCCTGTTGTTCGTTTGCTTGTTAATGTCAGATTTGTGTTACAATGCCCTACAGGCTTTGTGATTGTACAAATATGTACACATTCATACTTTTATTAGGGGTCCAAGCATGAATGGGCTGAGGGCCAGTGGATGCAAAGCAGCACGGCGTAGGTTTGTCGGATTAACACAAAACTTGGTCCAGTAGTTTCCCGTATATTCAACAGTTAAACAAAACAATAATGTTTATATTCATCAAGAATAAGAATAGACATTAAAGCAGTGCTAACACAATAAAAGCAGATTTCTGAGAGCAGGAACGAGGTGCTAGCAGCCGGTGTTTCAGTATCATAAGCTTAATGTTTCATTGTCTGTTTCAGAGCAAACACAAACCCTCCAATGGCCAAGCAACAGTTTGATTCTGGTTTGTTTCAACAGCTGAGCTCAGCGTGACACCATCTCGCCTTCAAGGACTATTTGAAGTTCTTTGAAATTCCCCGGCGTTTGATGTCCATCTTTTCATTTTAAACCTTTTTTCTTTCTGTTAGCTTGCTCTAAATTAAAAAATTAAAGTTGACGTTGTGCTGCAAAAGAAAACCCCAATCAAGCCCTTCGTTTGTTTCTGTCCTCTTCCTTCTGCTTCTCTTTCATCCTTCTTCTTCTTCCTCTCCTTCTTCTCCTTGCTGTGATCTTAAATGGTCGTTGTTTCTGCGTCTCACAGCTCTGTTCACAGACGGACAATAGCTGTAACTCCTCTTCCTCTGTGTCTTTTTCTGTCTGTCTTCAGGACTTCCCTCTGCTTCAGCTGGACGACGTGGTGGATGATCAGTCCAACATCGTGGGCTTCTCCATGCTGAACAGCAGCCATTACTTCTACCTGGAGTTCATCAGAAGTCTCAACCTGTCATGGAAGGAAGGCTGTGATGTCAGCCCGTACCCTGGTCCAGCGGTGAGACAAACGGAGACAAACCTGTCTGCTTTAATTAAAGAATCATAAAGTATCATCGACAGTTTAACCTGAGAGCAGCCGGGTTTCTTAAGTGCTCTTTAATCTTGTAGTGTTGATTTTACAACCTGTTTACAGGGTAGACACTGCTATCACCGTCTATCAGGGGCCAACTTCAACCAATCAGATCAATGAACCGTA